ATGAGTGGAATTCAACTCCCAGAATCATGCTGGCTGGGGAATTCTGGGAGTTGAATTCCACTCATCTTAAAGTGGCCAAGTTTGGACAACACTGCCCTAGGGCCATTCAGGGAGGGGGTGTTCAAAACATCAAGAGGGTGGCCACAATCGTATGATCAAAGTCCAGTTCTTGTTATGTGTACTGTGTGACGTTGCAGGTAAAAAGGAAGGAACTTTGAGTACATAGTCATAGCTACCATATAGATTTTATTGACCCCCCTTCTATAGATGCCCCTGGATCAAGACGATACAATGGGTGTGGTCAGGATAAAAATTAGAAAGGGCTTCATTGACAGTGAAATATGGTGCTGGCTACCAGCTTGACTGGCTTCAAAAAAGGGTTTGAACAATTCATGGAAGTCCTGGTGATCCATGGCTCTGAGCCTTGATGTGATTGCCTTGAAGGCCATCTGTTGGGAGACTAGTGGTACACTGGAGCCGGAAGTCCAGTCCAGCAGGGCACAGCTTGTGATCTTTGATGATGAAACACAGCTGATGTGCTTGCTCTGTGTGTGTGTGTGTGTGTGTGTGTGTGTGTATCCATTTTCTGTTACCATAAAAAGGCACTTGAATAGCAACTTTTCCAAGACCTGGGCAAGTAACTCACCCAAGACTACTTGTAGGTAGGCCTGTGGTCTCTTGGATAAGGCCAAAGGGTTAACAGGAGAATTTTGCATGGGGGAAAACTTGCTAGAGAGTTCCTTTTTTATGACCAATGTAAAAGAATGCTTTCTTTTTGTACATCAGTGATCAAGACGCATGACCATCAAAAAGATAGAGGATGATGTTCTAGAGCTGAAGATTTACCTGATCCCCTGACTATCCCTTTCCTTTTAAATAGTGTTAGGCCTTTTCTACAGCAAGGACTAACATTATATCATGTACTGTATCTGAAAATGGCTGGAGTGCTCAGTGCAAACATTTTATTCTCTACCCAACACCAAGTCCTTCAGAAGAACCTTCTCACTGTAATGGTGCATCCCACATTTATACATTATGCACACAGCACAACGCTATTAATAAAATATGAGATGAGACAGAATGCAAAATACAATCCATGTCCATTAGGAACTGATACAGGTATCTTAATGGAAGAGTAATGAGTAATAATGGGATGATATTGCAGGATTTCATTTTGCACCATATTCTCCAGTCACATTATCTGGATATCTTTTACTTTCATAGTGATCAGTGTAGGACTTCTGGTGAGAGTGCAATGGCGAGCTAGACATCCCTCCTGTAGCAGGATGGTGTTTGGAATAGAGATGCAGGAACCGGGCTGCTGAAATCTCCCCGGAGAAAGGGGAGATCTTGAGATAGTCCACATGCACAGCCGCTCCTCATGAGTAGGCAGCAGGAATTGATGTTTTGCAGTTGGCTTATGAGTTGAGTGGGGGAGTCGAGGGGGGAACCATCTTTGCTCACAGTCGTGAACTCAGCCTTTTTTAAGGACATAAAGCTCAACCGAGCCTCATTTCTTAATCACTCTGGATTTTTTTTATTGCCTTTGAAATATTAAGACCTTTCAGAATGGCAAGTTATATGGTATTGACTGGGTGAGTTGACTTCTCCTTGGAGGAACAATTTTTAAACAGGATTTTAAAGTTTTGGAAAAAAATCACTTTTTGGATTAAATAGCAAAAAGGTTCTTACAGTATTGATTCCAGAAAGTTAACAATGTATTAAGGGTCCAGATGGACTTGGAATTATAATTTTGAATTAATTAGAGGAATCCTTCCAGTGGGAAATGGTGATTATTTGAAAGAAACAATGATATGGGACTTTGACGGTTGGCCACTAGAAGGAGCTAGAAGGTAATAAAGAGTTTAATTTAAGGTTAAAAATGGAGCAAAATACTCTAACAGTGGAATTTTGGATGGATATTTTTGAAGAATGGTCTCTAAAATTATCTGATATGATAGATAGATAGTCTGTGAATGAAATTACAGAAGAAGAGCAAGCTACACTGGATACATTCAAAATTAATTTGAATGTGGATTTAAATGTGGCAAGCAGTGAGGATATGGAAGATGTATTGGATATACAAATGAAACCAGTTGATCTTTCATTGCTTTCATTGGTTATTAAATCAGAAAAGCGATTTGGATAACTTTTTCTTACTGGATGTACAAAAGTCATGAAGGATTTTTTAAGAATTGACCAAAAAAAGGACAAATCTTTTTTACTGGAGGTACAAATCAGGTCTGTTAAAGTTTTGGAAGATTCCTTGAGAAGGGATAAAAAAAGCTGAAAAGAACTCAAGCTTTGGGACTTTATTTGAAAATCAAGATTGTTAAAAGTTCCGGGAAGGAATACAGGGTTGGCTTATTTCATCAAGATTAAAATAGATAATTATTTATATCTGGTAACCCTTACTGGACTTTTCCTGATAAGGGATGAATGACAAGGATTTTGTATTTTGTTTTTAGTTAAGAGATGAGATATGAGGGAAGAGAATATACAGTATGTTGTATTTTTTTAAGATGGCGATAAGTTCCTAAATTGTTTATACTTGTTGTGATGAAGGGGGAAGTTATTTCTTTTTCCCTTTTCTTCCCCTTTTTCTTTTTCACACTTTTTTCTTTTTTATCCTTGCATTTTTTTGTAGTCTGTATTGTCTTTATTTTTTCTATCTGTAATCTCTAATAAAATTATTTGAAAAAATAAACATAGTGATCATTGTAACTGGAACAGGGTTTCTTTTGAGACAAACAATATTTGTTTATTTTATTTATTTGTATTTCAGATTTGGTCACCACCCATCTCACTAGGAAATGACTCTGGGAGGTTTACAGTAAAAACAAAACAAAAAAAATTAATTAAAATACAATAAAAATACAATAAAAAGCATATTCATACATAAATAATAATATCTTCCAAGGTGCTGCTGGTAGAAAGAATATTTATTTTTAATTTATATTTAAAATATCATTATCAAATGGATCAGAGCATATAAAATATATTTTTTAAAAAGGGGTTCAAATCAATTTTTCTGATCAGTTCAAGTTTGATTTGCACACTGTGCTGATGAATATTTCTCCCAAAAAGAGCTTGCTCACCATCTGAATTCATCTAAATGGTGTTAACTGTCAGGGTCCCAGAAAAAGAATGGGATAGCCATGTAATTATAAATTAATACAACAGAAATAAATCATGGCAGGAGCAACAGACAACTGAACAATGCAAAGGATGTTTCTTCTGTCTAGGCTTCTAGACATATCTCTGGGATGTGAGAACTATGAGTTTTTTTGAAAAACAAACCTTGCGTTGATCCCCCTACTCTCTCTGCACAGAGTGAATGACAACTTTTTGGCTCTTCTGATGTTGAGCTGCAGTGGACAGCAACCCCAGCTGGCTTGTCCTCTGAGGAAGAATCCTAGGAGTTGTATTCATCATTTGGAGAACAAACATCTGGAGAATCAAGTTCCAGCCTCAGGTGGCCTAAAATCCTTCCATTGTTGGATAGATACATTTAGTATTTGCCAAGCCAAATGAAAGCGTTGTTGGGCTTAGGGGGGAAAAAACTGAATTCCATATAAGAGCAAATTCCTGGTCCCAAAATATCCTGTAAGTTTTAGAATTCTCCAGAATGCTTTAATGGATAGGATGGTAAGCAGAGAAAGAAGAGAAAGAGGTAAGAATAGGGGGGAAATAACTCTGGGCTCTTGTCTAATTAGACCATTGTCAGCCATTTGACCATGGGGTTTGGTCAAACCCAGTCAGTAATATCAGTGTAGTTATCTATATGTCAGCTCGGAAGTAGCTCACTGAATGTCAAAACAATCCTGCACAATACTCCTACACCAGATATAGACTCAAAAATCAGAATCCTTATATTTATTTATTTTTGATAAAATGAATTACCATACTGAGTACATTCACACAATTTGCTAAACTCAGGTCAGTCAGAAGGCATAATCGTTCAGCGCTATATATGAATCCCACTGTTGGAGTTTATACATTGGGGTTGATGGCTTAGCGGAATGTGAGAATCAACAAACCAGCATTAAAACAAACCATCGCTTTGGCTTGGGGTGATGTGTGAACTCCCCAGACTTTCCCAAAGGACAAGGATAAGGAAGGAAATAAAGAAGATGAAGTGGAAGTGTTCTGAATAAAAAACACCACTAAAGCTGGAGAGTTAATCTCTAATTCCTTTTATTTTGATATCTTGACAATTCCACTGAAAGACGCAGTTTGGGAAACATGGAAAAATGAGAAAGCAAATATCTGCAAACAGAGGTCTCATACAGACCAAAAGATATTGGTCTTGTTCAACAATGATTGAAATATTTGAATGACAAGTTTTAACAATAAGTAAAGCATCATGTTATATAAATATACCACCCTAACCTTGATAGGGTTTACATATACATATACATAAATATAGATTGATTGGAACTCAAGGGTGCGAATACTGTATTTTGAGATAAATTATTTTTGGATTATTTTTGGAATATGAAATGATGGCTGTGAAATCACTGGTTTAATGCTACTGAAGTCAATGGGACGTATTCATCCCAATCAACCTCAGTCTCATTGGCTTCAAGGGAAATACACTGGAGTTCAGCAGATTTGGGGGTCTGCATTCAGCCTTTGGGAGGGAGACCCCACCTTATGCAGGAGATGGGGCAAAAAAATGGTCATGGGCAGGACATAAACAACTTTCATTTTAATTCCAAATTAATGGAATGAAAACTTTTATTCCATTAAGAAATTACTATTGCATGGTCATTTTGGGGAGGGACATTAACAGCTGCGACAGAGATGTATGAGATTTTGCAGCATAAATTTCTTTATTGGCAACTATCATCCTATTTTTCTTCCTTCACAGCTCAGAAATGGGGTCAGAGTAAGAGTAAGTCTCTTCTCGCTCTCTAGTTCCAAAGGATGAAGGAGAGTGGCCAGGGAAGGATCTGATCTGGTCTGATTTTTAAGCAAACTAATTGATTTTGCATTTCCTCAACTAAAATGCCCCCTGGAACACAAGTAAGCAGGCCTGCTTCTGAATTTTGTAATGTAGTCCTCAGCTCAATACATGTGCATCTTAGGGAAAAAAAATGTGCATGCCACAGAACACTGAATACAAAATGCAACTCCTGTACCACTGTGTGAGCCAATACATGGTAATTTTGATTGTGGGAGGATTTTTTAAAAAACTGATAAGGAGATTAAATAGAGTGGTTATTATTGATCGTATACAAAATTGAGACAATCAGCTGATCCACCCAAACGGATGCATTACATCCTCACAATCGAGATAGCTCTAGGTCATTTATTCATCTGAAGAATGTTTGCTTCTTAATAATGTGTTGATTTCTTGAAATGAATGTGAAATGTCCCCAGCCCGACCCTCCTGAAAACATTTGCTAGCTACCCTTGACTTAACTAGGAGAGAATTTTCACAGCAAAGATGCCAAGGATGCATGGAAGGAAGAAAGACATTTGTGGGCCAAGGTGCTTCTTATCCAGAGTAAAGGCCAGGCGTCGCAACGATGCAAGAGCGCTGCTGGCTGGAGAACAGTTAATATTGTTAAATGTGTATGTGAAAGTCCCTAGGCGGATGGACTGATCTTTTTTAATGTTGCAGACCGATGCGCTGACACAACCTTTTCCAGCAAAAGGGATATTTGCGGGGATACCTAAGGCAGAAGGAAACAATGATTTATTTTGTGGGCTTGTTAAAAGTATTTCTACATTATTTTTTGCATCAGATGAAGGAAAGATTTTTAAACTAAGGGCAGAGACATCAATGGGGTGGAGCAAGAAATGGAGCTGGTGGCCCCAACCCCACATGGAAATGCAGGGCAGAGTTGTGATCATCTGGCCATGGCTGCCCATTGTACCTTTTTTACAGTTCTGGTCAATGGCCATGATAAACTTTTGATTTATCTTGTCTTTTTTGACCCCCACCCAACCACAAAGCAGATGTATTCTTCAGAGCTTTTTTCAAAGGTCTATAATAAAATGGTTATCTGATTCCCTGACTTCCCGTATCTTTTATTCAGATTTGAAGTACAAGCCTACAGTCTATTGCATAATGTGGAATTGATTCATAATTTTCTTTTCACAATCCACACATCTGAAACACTGAAACCAAGGTGGTGGAAAAAGTCTATCGATGCTGCCCAAAATGTTCTTAGCAATTTCTGAGTATGAAAACCCCTCTTGAAACACCAAAGGTAGAATAATATAGTTGTTGAGTAACTAAATAGATGATCATTTATTATTAGATGATAAGGCTGTCTTGAGCATTTTCTTCTTTATTCTCAATAACAGTAATACATAAAAAGGATGGCAACGTCAGTCATTAGAAACTATATGCTGTCTAGAATAACTTGGTATTTAAAAATTAAATCTGACATGGAATTTAATTCTAATTGGAAAACATTGTTCAGCTACAAAGTTATACATGGAATAGAGCCACATCCAAAATTTGGGTTTAGAATTCATATCTTAACTTGATATAAAATTTATTTGATATCATTGATTTATTGCACTATTTACTATCTATAGTCTTTGGTTAATAACAAATTGATGATTCCAAATGATTCCTCATCCAAGTATTAACCAAGACTTAGAATATTGGGCCAGGTCAACTCGCTGTTCCTAAAGTGGCCTGATTTTTCTTACATTTCAAAAAATATTTTGAAATGGCATGTTGTAGAATAAAGTGCCAGCTGCCAGCCTGCTTCCCCTTCTCCCCCAAAAACAGCTGAAAATGTGCTATTTAAAAAATGAAAATGTGGGGTGTGAACCTCTTTGTTTGGAAATGGGCAAACCTGCTCAGAAAAAAGACAAAGTAAGGTATTATCAGGCAGGTTTGGACTGAAAGAAAGACAGAGTATATTCTAATAAACTGAGGTTTTGTGAATGGTTATGACCTGGGTGTTTTGAGAATGGCTGTTTCCCCACTGGTGGGCAGCGCGCCACCACATGTGTGGCACGTTCTCAGCATCCCTAGGGACCTCCACTGCAAAGCTGAGCAGCCTTTTTACAGATGAAGACTCTGATACCAGTTGGCTTAGTAGAGCAAAAAGCAAAGGAAGCTTAAATAAAAGAGGAACGATAAAGAAAGCGTACCTTTATAAACTTGTGATATGACTCCATTCACGACAGTACAGTTCACTATATCACCCAGGCAGGCCATATTTCCATCCTCCACACAGTTATCGTGACCTGTTGTGAAACATTTCGGGCAATACTTCCCATTTTCATAGATTCGAAGAGGAGGGGCTGCAAGTCACAGAATGAGTTTATGTAGCAAAATAATCCATGTAAAGTGATAGTCAAGACAAACAGCTTATTTTGCCTTTCTCAGACTTTCACCCCTGGGGAATCTGCTCAACGGTAGAATAATTGGATTTCCAACCATTTTGACTTTCTGATATTCTAATAGCCCTTGGGTTTTGCTCCCTTTCAATTCCAGAAGGAATTCCAGGATGTTCCTGGTATGTTTCACCCTGACCCAAAGGGAAAATCTTTGATTCTGCCTCAAAAATCAGAAAATATATTCCTAAAAAGCATAATCACCATGTCTAGATCTCAAAAGTTATAAAGAGACTTTTTAAAGGTTGCCAAATGAGAAATTGCACATTTTATTTAAAAAAACAAAATCCCATTCTAAAAGGTATTTGGGGTATTTTGTTTGTCATATTTATTTGACAATTTTTTTTGTTGGTATCTTTAGCGAAGGCAGACTGAAAATGAGCCATGCCAGCTGGGACTAATGGGAATTGATGTTCAAACATCTGGAAGTCACCACCTTGTTTTCTCCTGGTGTAGAAGACAAAACATTTGGAGATCAGTGTTGGCCTGGGCACCCTAGGTTATTCCTTCAACCAAGATTTCACCTGTTTATTTCCAGGTTTTACCTGTGGATTTGTAGATGAGATTTCTATCATAGGTGGCCAGGCCTTTTACTTCTGGCCTTTCAACAACTTTACAAGGGATCTAGATCAAATGCTTGGGCTTCTCTTCCCAATGTATCTAAGACCATCCAATTACGTCTCCTTTTGCAAATTAGAAAAGGAATGGATTTGTGCATGCATTTTGAGTTGTTCTAGATGTAAGCTTCAAAGACTAGAAAGTTGTCACTTCTTTCCATCGGAATTTTCCCATACGTAAATGTCTTTTTTTCAACTATTCCAAAAAGGAAAGTACCAGAAGCAAAATAAAATTTAAAAGCTTTTTACATACCTACAATCTGAGGGCTGCAAGTTAAGTCCTCGTTGCAAGCCGCAGAAGCAAAGTCCAAAAAAACGTTGTCTCCAAAATTAAAATGGAAGAGTCCAGTCAAATTATTTTTAGATGCTACACAATATCTGGCGAATCCTTCACTTGGATAATTTTCTAGTTGGGAAAATATAATGATTAGGAAATATAATCAATATAACCAATTCTATCAATGGAATCAGCCAGATGTAATAATCTGCAGCTGCAAAGCTCCAGATAGCTTTTGGATCCCTTGTTTGTGACTTTGTGACTCTTGGACACCCTAACTTCCACCCCCCACCCCCCCAGTTGACCTTGACCCAAATTCTGACTCTTCTGAAGTTGGAGAGAGATGAAAAGATGAAAACTAGTGTAAGTCCTAAAATGAGCATGTCAGAGTTTTAAAACAAGAAATTGCCCAGATTTCCAGAAATAACAAAGCCACGTGGCCCCATCTATATTATAATCCTGAGCCTCCCAGCACACTTTAAGTATGGTCCATGGACCCAGAATGATTGGAATAACCTTTGGAATAAACAAGCTGTTCTAAGGTATGAAAATTGGATCCAGAGCTAATCTAGCATTCTTCTTAAAATGAGAATTGTATCACAAAAGGCAGAGATTGGTTTTTCTCTTGGTTTAGTTTTCTTTATGGTTCTGCAGGATGTGTGGACCCCTCAAAATGGACAACTAAACAATTGGTTAAGCATGTTGCCTGAAGGCAGTCAATGATTGGTATAGTGCAGTGTTTCTCAACCTTGGCAACTTTAAGATATGTGGACTTCAACTCCCAGAATTCTTCCCCAGCCAGCATAGGGAATTCTGGGAGTTGAAGGCCACCCATCTTAAAGCTGCCAAGGTTGAGAAACACTGGTATAGTGCAATGTAGCTAACTGGATACCCTTGACTACTTCCCAACTTTCAGACTGTACAGGCACCAGTGGAGATAAGGATATGCCCCAGTGAGCATTCTGAAACACGGAAGTGTGTAGCAGTATTAAAACAACCTTCCTGTTATTGCTCTCAGCTTTAAAGGATGAAGGAAGGGGATGTAAAAGGGCTTCACCCAGTTCCTACATCAGCAATTAGCCCTTCACAACTTTTAACAAATTAGCCCTATGGCAATTATATAATCATAGAATGGAGAGCTTGGAAGCAACCTTGGAGATCATTCACTGCAGGAATCCACTAATACAGAATCCCTGACAGATGGTCATCCAATCTCTGTTGAAGGATGTCCATCAAAGGAAGTCCACCACCTACCGAGACAGTCCTTTCCATTGTTGAATAGTGCCTAATATTAGGAAATGTTTTCTGATGTCCACCAAAAATCTATTTCCTGTTAATTTAAATCCATTACTTCTTTTGGAACAACTCTAAAATTTCCACCTCATCTTCTACAACACAGCTCTTCGGATATCTGAAAACAGTTATCATTTCTCCCCAATCTTCTCCAGGCCTAAATAGACCCGTCTCTTCCAACTACTCCTCATAAGTTTTTCCTTCCAGCCCCTTTGCTGTCCTCTGTCATCCAGCTTCTCAATGTTCTTCCTAAAATGCGGTGCCCAGAACTGGACACAATAATCTACATGCAATCTGACCAATATTGAATACAAAGGAATGAAATGGACTTTGATGGTAAAAAGGATGCCTATCCTTGTCTTATGGCATGTGCTGGTCTCTCCCTGTGAACATAGTCTTCGAATGATGACTAAGACAAAGTTGGTAATACTATGAAATTTTTACAGAGATTGTGAATGCCTATATGAAATCTGAAGGTTGGAACTTGGATTATCCACCAGATTTTACACTTCTTTGAATGTTAAAATGGAAATCATGCCAGATGAAATGTATCAAAATATGGACTTCAATTTGTAATTTAGGAGTGATTATACTCTTAAATCCCAATGTATATTAAAATAGGAATTTATACACACACACACACACCCCTTCAAGGTAAGAACCTCAAAGGAAATTATGACTCCCTTTGATAAATTGTTTTTCTATAGTGAGATAAGGCTATTAGCCTCATCAAGGTGGAGCAGCAATGCAATTTCCTTTGTCATGTTATTTGATGTTCCTCCATCAGCTTTGTCTGACAATTGTAGTAGCCAAAAGATCCAGAAGGACATGTGAGAAGTCTTTTCTGATTATTGGAAGTGCTAGAAAACACCTAAGGAGTGATGCAGAGTGAAGAAGATTTGCTGTTTAGGAACAGGCCTCATGAAGTTGCTGTGAAGCAAAGCACCACTTTGAAACTCTGCATAGTCTTAATACGCACTATGCCCAGCGTGGATTCATCCAACACAGTAGGTCATAACATAGCTTGAGCATATCGTATGAACCCTGCCATTGCCATTGGAAATTCATGCTTTATATCTTAGCCCAGTATGAAGAAAGCCAACTGTAGATGATTCAGAAACCATAGTTTAAAAAATTCTACCTTTATGCTATGTGTGAACCCAGACAGGAGAAAGCCACCAGTAAGATTTACAATTAGGAAAAACTAAGGGAGTTAGGATTGGGATTACCTGGTTTTAAATTGTATTATGCAGCCTACTGTTTAGTTTGGATGAAAAAGTGGCTGCTTTTGAGAAATAAAAGGATGTTAGAATTAGAAATACACAACCTGCGGTTTGGGTGGCATGAGTTTTTATGGTACGATAAAGTTAAAGTTTAACTTTATATGCACAAAGAAGGAAAAATACAAAAATACCCACAATAGAGGAATGGATTGCTGAAATGGCTAAACTGACTTGTTTGATTAGGGAAGGAACAATAACTACTTTTATAAAAGGCTGGAAACCATTTATGGACTTTTTGCTCAAAATGGACAAAAATGAATTGGTGATCTTGGGATTTACTGATTAAAAAGGGTTGTTTATGGGAAGAAGGGAACCATGGTATGTAATTTGGGAAGGTGGAAATGGTAATAATCGTGTTTGAAACTGCTTCAAAGAAGATCAGAAGTCACTTCTTTAGATATCTTTCTTTTTCTTTCTCTTTGTCTTCTGATGTTTCTCACTTTTTCTTTTATCTTTTCACATTTTTTTCTTTCTTCCACTTTGTTTCTTTATTTTTCTGTAGTTTTTAAATCTTGTATAACATTCTTTTTCAATAATAATTATATATCAAAACAGATTAGGGTGGAAAGAGAAGACATACTCTACATCAGTGTTTCTCAAACTTGGCAAATTTAAGACACGTGGACTTCAACTCCCAGAATTCCCCAAACAGCATGCTGGCTGGAGAATTCTAGGAGTTGAAGTCCACATGTCTTAAAGTTGTCAAGTTTGAGAAACCCTGTTTTATATGAAACTGAAATGGCCTGGAAACAGATTTGTCCATATCTTCATCCAAGTACAACATCATAGAAAAGGTGAACATAAAAATCAAATCACTTACGTCTTGTCAAGTTGTGGTTAGATTGAACACTCAAGCATGTTGTCTGATTTGGACAGTTTGTGTTTGGACCAGAACAGGTGAGTCTATCTTCTTCACAGACAGAGCATTCTAGAGAGAATGGTAAGGATTAAAAAAAAAAAAAAAGTAAATAAATTTGAAATTCCTTCAGATTTCAGTTGTGTTATTATGCTGTAAATGCAGCTTAATATTGAAGAGGACTCTTGGACCTATAAATATGCTTCAATTAAGTTTTCCAAAGCCTCTGACAGCCAGCACATACTTTCCTCCAGATTAAAATGGCCTGGATCTACTTTGCAGCTTCACACCCAAGAAAGCTTGATTTTAGATCAAACTACAGCATACACACACATACACACATACCTTTATATACATACAGACTCCCTGAAGGAGTCAAATATTAACTTCCCTTCTTCATGTACTGTGATCCCAATTTGGATTCCTACAAGTCAATACAAACTTCCAAATTTCAGAAAAACACATGCATCCATGATGAAGATGTGAAAAGTCTTGGCCATTTTGTGTTTTCCATTGTTGTAAAATGATTACCTTCTGTTTAGATGTTGGGTTATATTACTTTAGAGGTAGTTCTTACTAGAGGATTGTGAAGCTGACAGAGGTGACAGTGGATCAGTCTGGGAAACTGACACCTAAGGTTGGAAGGAGGCTAACAGAAAAGATCTATTTGGTGAAAGAATAAACTGGAGAGGAAAGAGGGAATGGCCTTGAAGAACAGGAGGCAGAGCCATTATCAAGGCAATGATCTGATAAGAGGGGTCTGAGTCCAGGCCAAGAAAGTAACTTGAAAAATGTCTCAGACAAGCTCCTCCCTATTTCACACACAGATAAAGGGAGGGAGGGGGAAGCACATTCAGATTGCAAGTTTCTGTTAATTGAACTGTGACAATAAAAATAGTCCTGACCTATATGGTGTTTGTTGCTTAGTCTGGTCTACTTGGTAGGGCTGACAAAAACTGAGGTCAATTCTCTGGCCCTTCTGCTTGGCAAAAAGGTTGAGAGGGACTGATGGCAATCTGGAAGCAGTGAGATGGATAGCATTAGGTAGGATCTTTCCAGATGCCCTGAGCAAAACTAAATGAGCTGAAAACAAGGGAATTGTAAGGAAACTTTGGATCTAGGGAAGTTTTCTCTAGCCCTCTTTCATTTTTATTCTTCCCAACCCAGCGGAATGTTGGTAAGTAATTCTGTAAAGGGCTTATGATAAATCTCTGAACACAGAGAGGAAGAAAGCCATGTTTGGGGTGGCATGAGAAGCCATCAAAAGAAAATTCAAGTTCAAAGCTGGACCACATCAGATCAGAGGCTGCAGAAACCCCCCCCCCCCCAAAAAAAATAAATAGAAATCTGCCCGATGTATCCCACAGGAGAGGCAATTGGGCACTTCCACAGGCACTCGTGCTATTTAGTGTACATATAGACATTATACTAGGGGGGAGCAGAAACATACACACAGATGAACATACCTGATTAATTATATATGCATATAGCTTTCTTTAAAACAAGATCAAACAAGCCAAGTCAAACCATATACTAACCCCTAAGTAGCGAGAGTAAGAAATGATCATCATCATCTGCCCAGATTCCAACTGTGTTCAATATTTAGTTTGAATTCCATTGATCTGCATTTTTCTGCATGGGAAAAGTTTCTGCCTAACCCAATAAGAATGACCGATTTTATGAAACGCTCTGACTGCCAACGCTGTACTCTGAACAGTCAGAGGTCTAACTCAATCCACATTTCAGTATGTAACAATGTTGATTCCAGATACTTTGCTATCTGAACTACCACCTAACACTGCTGGATCAGGGTATCCAGTTCCTCTTTCCCCATCCTTCCATAAGGCCATCTGAAGTTGGTCACCTTAGCGTGCTGCCTTGCAGAGTGTATTTGGTGGATCCAACCTGAGATCATTCTAAAAGGAAATAAAGAACTGCCTAATTCAAGACTTAGGATCTCTGATAGGAAACAGCTACAAGTGCATCAGAAGAAGTGAAAATTCATCCAAAGAACCCCACGTACGTGATTGTCCTGCAGTTCTTTCCACAGGAAGGAGGACGATGGTGAAGATGAAGAGCACAAAGGGAGCCATTGTGTTCCTGTTCAGGTCAGTCTGAGTTCTCTGAGATGGAGTTCTTCTCCAGATGGGCTATTTATAGATAGGGAGTGGCTTGAGGCTCTTTGCCTCTTGGCAATAAAGGATGGCAGGGTGCAGGATATATTTTTCCTCTTAATAGCATTTATACTGAGCGGTGGGTGACGACTGCTTATGTCCTGAACACCACTTTGCGCAACCGTGAAGTATTATAAGGAATTCCTGGAGTTTCGCAATCTCTGCCTTACCCTTTTTATATTTCTTTCTCTAAGCAAGACCCATTACAAGATTGCCCTGTCAAGGGAGGAGTAGCAAAGTCCTAGGCAGCTACGGAGGGGGCTGGGGGAGTCCCTTCCAAGGATGGTGAGCCATAGGAGATATATCCATGAAGGATAATTTCTTCCACCAACTCTGGGTTAGCTACACCTGGCCACCATCTCAACATCCCCCAGTGCTACAGCAGGTGAACTGTGCAAAATTCATTCAAGCCCCAGATCTTCCAACTCAGAATTGCTTAGAGAAAGAAATATAAAAAGGGTAAGGCAGAGATTGTGAAACTCCAGGAACTGCGTGAAATACAAATGCTGTTTTCCATTTGGGCTGGTGTGAGCTTGAAGTCTGCTCCAACCTGTATGTACACACAGACCTCTGTACACAATGGTTGGATTCACACAATGCACGATAAGTTTACTGTTGTATTAACCCATTTCCTCCACTCTTCCCAAAATATCCCTAAGCACAGTTCAAATTAAGCAGCTGAATATGCTATGTAAATTCAGCCACTAGTTTAACTGACCTCATTATGTGTGTTGCTGAACCCCTGAGTTGAAACATCAAGGCAGAATGGATGGATTCACACAACATGCTAAACCCTAATCTTGGATTGGCAAAATTCTTTTCCAGAATGTGTGTGGAAAAAATGATTTGGGGTCAACTTGAGGATAGACACTCATGAAGTCTGGATTGCCCATTTTATGATTTATATGGCTGCCCATCTGATATAAAGCAACTCTTGGTGGCTAACACAAAAAGTCAATGCAGTAATAAATGCAAAAAACTAACATCTTCTGTAACTAAGGGAGTTTTCAGACAGAATTAAAACATTCATGACACCAAAGTAGTTGGGAATATTGCTGGTTATAATGCCTTTTTCCTGGTCTCGGGACAATAGCCTAACACAATTTAAAAAATGGAATAGAGAGAAGCATTTTCAGGTGTCATGTAGTGTCTAGCCTATCAGGACTAGTTTTATTCAGAATTCTTGCTTAGAGACAAAAAATGTATTTATAGATGAATAAGTCACCTTTTCAAAACTCCATCAGTTGGGAAAAAAGGCTTCCAAGAGGCTTACAAACACCCATACATTGTTTTTAGGGATTTCTGAGTGACCACTCCATTCTGGCAGCCATTTTGTGAGAATATCCATTGTATTCTCTTGGTATTTCAGAAGTATCAACTGACCCAAAAGATCCTTATTCCAACATCATCCAAGAGCAGCTCAAGGTGGGCAGAATCAGTTATGTTTTACCTTGGAGGGAAGTCAAGGGGCTGTAAATAGGTGGGGACTGAAGAAATTAGAGGCAGGACTGGCTCTATTTCAGAAGGGAAAATGAGATTTGTTTTGTTTGTTGCTGTCAGCCCCTGTTTCTCTAGACCAATATTCCTCAACCTCAGCAACTTTAGGATGTTTGGACTTCAACTCCCATGCTGGCTAGGGAATTCTGGGAGTTGATGTCCACACATCTTAAAGCTGCCAAGGTTGAGAAATATTGTCCTAGACTATGGATGGCTTGCACCTGTGAATTTTCAGATTGCTTCTTGCCAATGAATCCATCAGTTGACTACTCAGTTGCAATAAACTGCATGAACGGACCCAGTGAAAGCTGGTTGTGGGGTATATCTCAAGAAACAATGAAGGGTGTCAGTAGGACTTGGCTCATGAGTTCATGATTGCTGGATCCATTCCCTAGCCCCCTTATTTTAAACCCAGGAGAGAGAGAAGTGAAAATATATATATATATACTTCCTGGTCTTCCCAGCCTTTGGACTATCTCAATCCATTTCCGCATTAATCACCAAGGGTGTTTCTCAAGCACTAAGTAATAGTACTTCCACCCATCCTTAAGTCATCAGAAAACCATCCCAGAATGAAATGTGCTGTCCTGTTGCCCGTCTCTATCCTGCCTCTAATTTCTTCAGTTCCCACCTATTAACAGCCCCTTGATTTCCCTCCAAGGTACAACATAACTGATTCTGCCCACCTTGAGCTGCTCTTGGATGATGTTGGAATAAGGAGTAAAAGACTATTTTAACTGTGGTATAGCTAAGGATGACTTAAGCCTTTTTCACTCATGGCCAGGGGATGAGTAGAAGGCAATAGGAGAAAAAAAGAGGAGACTTTGAGGATCTATTTGTCCTTGCAAGTGGAGAAGGTCCTATCTTCTAGTCATTCAACCATCAGTGGACTGAGACCACCATAAGGAGATTAGGGTCCATAGATAGTACAGTAAAACACTACACCAGAGGAGATCACCTCTGAATAATCTGTGCGTATGAACACAGACTTTCAACCCTGTTATTCAAATTGACAGGTCTCCATAGAAATATATTTGTGCATTTGGGTGGTCTACCTATCCTAAAGCATGCTGGTCCAGATGGATAAATCTTCTGGTTTCTGACAGTCAGTTTCAGACTTTGAAATTTGTTCTTAGTCAAAGCCTTATCTAGATGAACAAATGGACCATAACTGATGTCATTTCAAGGTAGGTCACCAGTGTGAGTGCAGACTTTCAACCCTGTTATTCAAACCAACTGGTCTCCACAGAAATATATCATTGTCCCAGGTACTGTCCCAAGGGCTTTAGTTTGGTGGATTATGTAGGGCAATAGTTCAGTCTTTAACACGCTTCAAAGGAGGGTGTGTCCACTAGAATTCAACTGTGCTTCTTTATTGATCTCTCTTACCACTCTTCATTTCCTTATTGCTTTTATTTATTTTAAAATAATTTATATTATTTTATTTACTTACTTATTTGCTTACAAGCAGGAACAGGAAAATTCATGTCACCATCATCTTTTCCATTTATGCATTTGGGTGGCCTACCTATCCTAAAACTTGCTACTCCAGATGGATAAAACTGCTGGTTTCTGGCATCCTAGAAAGTCCACTAAGCAGACTTTGCAGTTGTTCTTAGTCAAAGCCTTCTATCTAGATGAACAAATGGACCATAATTAATGTCATTTCAAGGTGGGTTGCATTATTAAAACAAATTAAAAACCATCACACCTAATATTATTCCCAAATGAACTTTGCGGATGTGTCCATGACATCACCAAGTTTCACGCTCAGCTCTAGCAAGACTTGAGACTTTTTAGATAGGGGTTGTGCTTTTTTGGAAAACAGAGAGAAAGAAAGGAAGAAATAAATTCACAAGTTGCCAGGAAGTAAACAGGTTGGAAAGATGGGGCATTTAGTCCAATCATAAAGTTTGCTTCTCAGTGCCATTAAATTCAAAGTGGGGAACTGAATAGGGAGGGAATGACAAGTCAAAGTCCAGAGAATACATTCCCCACTGTCATTGCAAGAGATAATGTCTAATTTTAAACCAGGGAAGACATTCAGAGGGATGGGCTTCCAGGAACACCTGCTGTGTGCAGGTTGTCATGACTCAGGAACGATCATTCACCAAGGAGACTCAGATGACCTTTGGGCTCTCTGTAAAAGAGCTTCAGGGTTTTTGTACCCTTTGGACTGCCAAGCCCATGGAGAACAAAGCCTTTCCTTTCCCTTTTTTTAATTTTAATTTTAATTTTTTTTATTTTTATTTATTATCTTTATGTTTTTTAAGCAAAACAATCTTTAATCTTACCAACCCCCCCCAAAAAAAACTGAAAAAAAAATAAAAATCCAAACTAAAGATACGAACTAAGGAAAAAAAACTCCTATATTTTATACTTATATGTAAGATATCACAAAATCTCTGCCATTATAACACATTGCTGCATCCTTTGATTGGTAGAAAATATTGTCTTTTCTAAAACAGATAAATCACTCATTTCCGACAACCATTCCTTGACATCCAGAATGATATCACTTTTCCCATTTCTTAATATGTTTCTTTTTGCCTCCCCCCATGCTCGATACAACTACAATTCCTGATAAGAGCCCTTTCCCATCCTAATGATTTTTCAGGGGCCGTCCTTTCCATCACAGTCTTTAACTGAAACTTGGGAGTGTGTGTCCTAGGACAGCCGATAACACTGGCATTCAAAATCTGCACCTACAGGGTGCAATGGTATGTGGGAATGATCTTGGGAGACTGGGCCCAGACACACTGCCTAGGGAACGTTCAGATAAGAGACAGCATTGTCCGCAGCTGGGTAGTAGACAGGGCAAGAGGCTCAGGAGAGACCCTCCCTAATTTCTCAGGAGTAAAGGAGATGGGAGAAGAATTGTACTTTCAGACTTGCAAGATTCTGTTAATGTAACCTTATAATTGTACTTTCAGACTTGCAAGATTCTGTTAATGTAACCTTATAATAAAGCAGAATTAGCTGATCTGATTGTGTTTCCTGTCTGGTCTACCTGGTAAGGCTGACACAGGGCCCCTGGACGAGGAACGTTCTGTGAAAGTTTATGCCTATGCCAACCTCTGCCAACTGGATACCCTTCAGATATGTTGGTTTTGAATGGCCACAGCCCCCCAGCTAGCATTCCCACCAGACATTCTAGCTGGAGATGATGGAAATTGGTCCAATTATCCAAAGAGAGGAGGGGAAGTGTTGCCCAAATAAAGCTTTCGAGGTGTCACTGTTCTCTGACATGTTGGGGAGATGAAAGGTAATCTCTGCTTCATTTCTCCCGTGGGATGTTGTGGAAGCCATAGGTCAATCTGGCCAATTTTCACAGATTTCATTACTGTCTTGGGGAGCAGTGAGAATGTCCAGGCCTGCAAGATTAATTGCTTTGCTGGTCCGAATTACAATGAGCTGAGATCCATGGATTCCTCTTCCTTTCCCTACTGGGTTTTTGATTCTCGTCAGTTGATCAGTGGCCAGATTTATCTACCCACTCCTTTCGCAAGGCTGTGGAAACATGGTTTTGCCAATGGGCTTGGGGAACTGGGAGGATGGTAGAGCTGGCAGAGTGGCTCTACTGATTGTTATTGGCTATGAGCTTTATTAATTTTATGATCGTTTTTACAATATATATATATATATATCACATAAGATTATTACATAAGATTAGAATAGATTATTATATAACCTTCCTTGAACCCTATGATTCAATTTAATGTCAGGATTGGTTCTAGGGTGATTGGTTAAACATTGGCAGCACTTCTAGGTTTAATCTGTGATTTGGAGTATGTCCTGGTGTACAGGGAAGGGTGAATATTGATACTCGTGGGAGGATGGAGTTATGGTTCAGGTCAGCTTTTATATATACAGCATATATCCAGACATCTTGCTGGTAGACAAGGACCAGAAGATAGTGGTGGTGATAGATGTAGTAGTGCTATGTGACAGCAACATCAGAAAGAAGGAATATGAGAAGCTGGAGAAGTATCAGGGCCTGAAGGAGGAACTAGGAACTAGAGGACTAGAACTAGGAACTAGGAACTAGAGAGGGTGTGGAAAGTCAAGGCCAAAGGGGTCCTAGTGGGGGTAGGAGCACTCAGGGCTATGACTTCTAAGCTGGGAGGGTGGCTTAGGAACAACATCCGAGCTCTCTGTCCAGAAGAGTGCAGTGCTAGGAACAGCTCAGATATTGTGCAGAACCCTCAAACTCCCAGCCTCTGGTACAGGACCGAGACTGAGGAAGACACAGACATCTCACAGCGGTGAGATGGGAGGTGATAGATAGATAGATAGATAGATAGATAGATAGATAGATAGATAGATAGATAGATAGCTCTGTGTGTGTGTGTTTCCTCACATCTTTTGATTGCTTAAACAGCCAGCCATCTCTTTGGGGGGAAACGGTGGGATGAAATTGTAGGTTTTATTTAGCTCAATATTCCAAACAAGGTGTTTGTTATCCCTTAACTGCCTTCAGATATAAGTGTTTCAAGAAAGCAACATTTCTTTTAGCTGTTTGCTGAGACTAACGCAAACTTCAAATGCAACTTCAGTCATTTAAGTTTGGGAAGGTGCCAAAGGAAAGAAATTTATGGAGGAAAAGAATCAGTAAAACTGACGAATAGAAACTGGAGCCCTTGTGAACAGGAGTCTAACAGAGATCAAGGTTGGAGCATTCCATCGTTGGAGCGCTTTAAATAGAATTACCCCACCCTATTGCAAGAGGGTCATCAGCAAAAATGACTTCAACATATTTAAGAAATGGTTTTTTATTTCAATTTTTTTTCACTTGCATTGACTTTCACTGTGCTTAAATAAATCTCCTCTGTCTCTATATATTAACAAATATAGTAAAATTTTCTAAATGTACTTTGTAAGCAACAGTTCACGTTTATCTTTCATTATGCCAATACTGGAATCTATCTACCAGATGTTTATTTCTGGCTGGTATGAGAATGTTTTCTTTAACTAAACAAATTGTAGTTATTGGTTATAAATCCAGATAGCTGCATTTCAGGTTTCGTGCTGCAGCAATGAAGATTCACCAGACCCTGTTGGGCTAATTTATGTAATGTATTTTATGTCACAGTAATTCGTTAAAGTTTTTATATATTAACCCAGTGGTAATTTTAGATACTTCCATTTTACATTTTATATTTAACATAATCTTAGTGACTATATTTTCTCCTAGGATAGGCTGTACCTTAGATTGCACCCACAGAGTTTAGTTAGATAGTTATAAATGTATTTTAATTTGATTTTATCCTAGGTTGCTATCATTTTAAGATAGGCTGTGTATTTTTGCAGAGCATCATCCTTGTACTGGTCCAAGACCGCAATAAACTTTGATTTGATTTGATGGCTGCATTTGCAAAAGGAGTTTTCAGCTCAGCTTTTTTTCCTTTCCTTTTTTTAGTGGCTTAAGCTGTGTAAACATTAGCTGCTTGTGTAGTAAAGTGTAGTATTCTTTGACTTGTGCAACCCCAGAATAGGGTTAATTCAGAAATTGGGGTCCAGGTATTGTGTGAATGTAGCCTCCAAGTATATGTTCAGTTTCAAATATCAAGAAGATGAAGACATGCACATTTAAGACATTAATAAAATATAAAAATGAGGGCCTTTCCTTCCTTGCCAGAAAATACATTTCGTAGCGAATCCTGATAAATACAGATTGATTATTAGCAGAGAAAAGGGGACATCACAAGAATTAGCAGCATGCAGCAACAAGACTTTTATATTTTTTTTACTTATTTTATTAAATATGATTTTCTTTGTTTAATAGAAGGAGTTTATCCCCTTTTATATATCAGGAAAACCTGCCTACTAAGAATGAAGATGCTTCTGCAGATCTTCCACCTTACTCTGTGTTTTCTTGAAGTCAGGGCCACTTGCCGATAATTTTGGGAGCAGGCGTGCACTCTGGTTTCTTTATAATCTCCTTGTATAGTCCTGGCACCCCGAAAACACGTGCCTCATTCAGACAAGCATTCTTGGTTCCACAGCCCCGTTCTGCATGAGTGTAGAATCTTCCATCTGCAGGAATTGAGAAAGATGAGAACAAAGTCCATTCCTGAGGTTGTGTACAACGCAAGGGGTATAGGGGAATCGGAGTGGGGGGGCAGGTTTTCAAGCAGGGATCGCGGTTATTTCCTTATTGGAGTTTATGAGGATTGGGAGGGTGCTTCTGTCTTTTAAAACAGGGTTCCTCAACCTTGGCAACTTTAAGCTGTGTGGACTTCAACTCCCAAAATTCCCCAGCCAGCAAGCAAACGAGACAGTACAGTTACAGTTCTATTGCATTTATTAGCTTCCGCCTACAAGACAGAATCTCGCCAGACTGAATCTAAATTTCCCAAGCCAGCAAGCAAACACTGTGAATTCCTTAGGGTGGTGCCAGTCCCCTCCTCTTCACCTCCCCACGCACATTCTGGGGGCTAAGGAAATGCTTATCTCCCCGAGTGCGGCCCTCGCCATACCATTCCATCGCAGGAACCCTGTTTTAAAACAATGTTAAATGTGCTATGGAAACTGTAACATGTTCTTCTATATTTTATCCTGGTATTATAAACAAGACAG